AGCTTAACGATATAGAAGCAGTAAGTTCAACAATGGCGCTGCATTCGCGTAATTTCAGCGAAGCGTTCGTCGTATGTATACTTCTAAGGACGTAAATGTTTGCGGGAAGTCGTGGGCGTCCAAGCGGAAAAATACATTTTACGAATAGGGAATAAAATGTTGCTGGTACACGAAAGAGAGGGAAAACAAAATGAATCAACTTTTATAACTATTTTTGTAATACACACAAGATGACCTGAATGCCGCAGTGGGTAGTGTACCTGCTTCCTGCGCTAGCGGGTAGGGTTCGATCCGCACTACTGGAAAAAAATGGCGTGATGACGTAGTCACAGGACCTTAAGGAACATAAAAAACAAATTAGCCGAATTGGTCGAGCCGTTCTTGAGTTATGCGCTTACCAACATTCAATTTTGGTTATTAAGAAGTAGATAATATGTAGGTATTTATTTACAAAAGAAAAGTATGTTTACGTATGTTTATCAGTTATCTAGTGCCCTTATTACAAGCGTTGCTTAGTTTGGGACTAGAGAATGTTGTGTAAAAACGTGACCTGAAATATTTATATAGAAAAAAAAAAAGATTTGGGTTTTCTCCCACAAGATCCGAAGCTATTATCTGTAAGTCACACAAATAACCGCCTCGTGTGGGAATCGAAGACACGACCCCCGGCGCGGAAGCCAATACCTTGGCAAGTGCGCCACGGAGTCATCAACCAATCACTGATCCCACAGTCTTCAGTTCAGAAGACGCAGGTACGGATTCAGTTATCGCCGAAAATTCAGACAATTTATCACATTTAAATTTCACCTGGATTGCATCTTACCACTAAAAGAAAAGTCTGAAACGGATTTCAAAATATCTTTTCTTTAGATGCCCAGGACGACCTCGTTTGAGCGGAGCACATGTTGAATAAGAAATCTGAAAATGAACTTAAATTAGAAATCAACAAATTTATTACAAAAATGGACGAAGGTTTTCCGTTGCTGCAAGGATGTAAACATGCACTCTCCGTGAAAAGCACTGGACGTTCTAGTCAACAGAACATATGGTATGTTCTGTTGACTAGAACGTCCAGTGCTCACACCATTTCTCCACACCGACGACAATCTCAACGTATTTACGTATCTACTTTGTTTTTATTGCATTTTAAGCAATGCTTGACGCTGTCTAGTATGTTTCCTTTACAGGAGACTAGATTTTCATATGAATTGTTACTTCTTCACAGCCGCGATTAACTTTTCGTCTGTTTTTCTACACATTTTTAATTACAACTTTAGTGCGGAGAATAGAAAACTGCCGGACAGTAAGATACACCAAAACTCATAAAGACTTCTTAACACCCGTTAATGTGAACGAGTCTTCTTCTTCTTTCTTTTTTTATGCTTCTCTTGTGAACGAGTCTTGACGTAATAAATTGTTAATGCAAAATTACGCGCCTAAATAGTTACGCCACACCAGTTGTCAAATTATTACGGAAATTTTTAGTCCGATTATGAACACAAGTTTTAACAATGAATAACATGACGCGTAACATGAGTGCTGTGAACAAATTCAAAGACATAACAATTTTTGTTCACATCGGTAAATAGATTCCTACTAAAACTGTTTGTTTGCTATTCTCGCGAGTTTTTACTTTAACGCCTGCCAAATACGCGCATACATAATACGGTCATAATGTTATTCGCAAATATTGGTTTACGAACAATTTGTTTTAGGGAGACAAACTGCAACTGCTGTATTGGTTCGCGATAAGCTACCATTGTGCAATTCTTATCACTTACAATAACATTATACGCTATAAATTCAAGAACATAATAAATTACATACGCCAACTCAAGGAATTTGTTGCGTAACTACATCTTGAAAATATTACGGCGAACACTATAATTTATATTATTATAAGTTGTCTAATTCGCGCCATAAACTATACACTTTGTTAGTCGTCGGTTTTTATGACAGTTACCAATGTAAGATCGAATAACGCAGTTCTATTCAAATCAGAAAGTATTTATTTATTTATTTATTTATTTAAAAATTTATTGTTTACACCCCAAAATAAGGCCAAACAAAAGGCAAACTTAATGCTATTAGGTATTAAGTACTGTCATGGTTAAAATTTTAACGCTTTAATTTTTTTTTTTTAACTGATGTTTTTGCTTTCAGTCCCGAGACTATTAAAGCTTCATCTGACGCAGAACCATTGGGCTAGCCAGAACCCACGGGTTTGGGGCTTTAATTTTGTGCACTTTCACTAGTATATGTTCCAAATGACACATAAAAGTAATAAAAAAATAGTTCATGATATCAGTTAAATATGACATTGTTTTTTATGTAATAAGATGGCACGGAAGCTGGCAGTTCACCTGATGTTAAGAGATAACAGGCAGAAACTGGCATGGTCCTTTTAGTTGTTTCATTCATGAGATGTATGTACATATTATAACTTTTATGTAGGTTGTTATGAACTTAAATATGTTAAGAACGTAATGGTATCTCAGGTGTATATACTGTCGAGTATACCTACTGACAACAGTGTCTTATCTTACTTTTGTACTTCCCGCAGAGTCATCATCATGTTTGTGATATGCCATTCAGCGAAAGTGACATAATTGATAGTAGTAGATACTCTACAATGGTCTCGGATTTCAAAGTCATTTTTTTTAAAACATTGCCCTTACTTTAGGATAATATTATCCTGTGTTGTAAGGACGTATTACAAACATACATTTCACGCGGACAAACACCCAGATGCGAAACAACTATCTGTGGGTCACACATAAATAGTTGTCCCGTGTGGGAATCGAACCCACGACCCCCGACGCCGAAGCCAATACCTTGGCAACTGCGCCACGAAGTCATTGAGTCAATACGTAGAAAAATATTACAATTCATCAGGAATGCTCGACTACTAAGAATGTCAAATTCTACTCGCTCAATTATTCCACATAACTAACAAGAGCATCATCATTTAATTATTAAACAGATGAATTTAATTGAACAGTTGCCTCAAAATTGTTGTTTATATTATATCGTTCTCTTTCTAATCCAAACAACCGATAGTGGAATTGAGATTTAAAAAATATACACGATTATAATTTTATTTGTCATCGTTCATAGGAAAATATCGTGATTAGTAAAAATATCGTAATCGGCGTATATCCAACGAATATTCATATTTTGTTTCTATGCGTCAAAAATCGGATCACGTTTACTTGTTTGGTATGCAGTGTAAATAAAATTAAGTAATGGCCACAGCAGTTTGCTGCGCATGCCGCCGTCGAATTCGTATAATTTAAACATCAATCATTCGTTCTGCCATCACTTTAGTGCGTTTACAATCTAGGAGACACCTCTACTTGCCACTAGGTGGGATAGTCATGAACTGGCCATTTTTGAATTAAAAAAAATACGCCCTGTCAAAAGTAGGGAAATATAATATGAAAGAAGTGCGCCTATGCGTTTCATTATCTGTGGCCACAAATTGGACCGGCGTTTTTGTGGTTGTTTATTGTGTATGGGAAAAAATTTATTCTACATTTTAAAGAAGGCCGCATGAATACTAATTATTGTTATATTATGCTGTCGTTGACAGTAAATCATGGAATACGTTTCGAATTATGCTAACGTACTTAATTTATTGACAGGAATTAGAAAGTTATATACATTTCGTATATGGTAGTTACCGTTACCGTAAGTTGGTATTTACCAGACCCACACCGAGATAATAAATAAGAAACTAACTACTATATGAATTGTGAAAGTGAAAAGCAAAAGCAATACATGAAACCATATGGAATCTTATAAATATCAGTACACATTTAATACGGTTATTACATATTTACATTAAGAGTTAAAGATTATTTAACATTTTCAAGGTCGACGTTAAATTTTTAGAACTCCCCGTTCTGTTAAAACTGCCAATTTTTTAAATAATAATAAAATAACATAAATAAAATTTGTTATGAAATACGCTTAGAAGTTTTTATGTCACCAGTTTTTTTAGCGTAACGAAATTGTGAAACAACTTGTATTATTCCCATCGTGTACTATATACCGTAACGATCAAAGGCATATCGTTTAATTGGTAAATTACATTGTGTATAATAGAGCAAAATTTACAATACATCTGATAGTTGATTGCGTGTGCACCGTTTTGCTGAAGACCATAATTATTCTGTAGCTGTAATCCAGGGACGCGTCACGTATTTTTTTTTGAAAAGTTTTAGCAATAAGTGGGTACCTACCTACATTTTTGATATAAAATTGCAGGTAAGCGTGCAGTAATAATCGAACTTTGTAGGACAGTAGTCTAGTGTTTTTCGTTTAAATTCTCCGCACGTCGAGGTAAGGTTAATGGTCCAGCCTCGAAGTTTACGTTGTCGTTGCATTTCAATATCGAACGCTTGTTTACTATCGTGTTTTCTTGTATATCGTACAAAAATATAAAGTTTAATCAACATGTTGAAGACGCTCGATCGGTTCGTAGTGTTGCGTTGAATGAATTAACGAATTCAATTATTATTTACAGGTACGAATTGTTTTTTGTGTTGGTTTAAATTAGGGGATAATTGTGTGTATCATTTGCTTCCTATTTATTAAGTCCCCTGTTCAATTTCCGATGTTTTTAATATGGCCCGCGTTGAATGGTGCATCTATTGTTTTGTGTTACTGACGGCTAGCGCTCTATTCAAACTGTCATTGCACAATAGTGGACTTCGCCTTCACCTTCCATCGCGTTCCGACATTGAAATAAACCGTCCACTGTCCACTCATTTTTTTATGTGACAGATGTCACGAGCGGCCAATACGTCCAAACGGAAAATCGGAAGCGCTTTTTATATTTATTATAGGATCGGTGCTGTTGCGAACTCGATCGGGCAGCTTTATATTATTCGGTGTTCGGTGTTGGCGGCAAAACGTTCGCTCGCCGCGCGCAAACGTCAGTTGCGCCGCGAAGTCAAGATTGACATTACGTTGACGCGGTGTTTGTTCTGTGCGAGATGTCATCCAACATAGTTAGCGATAATTATCAGGGCGACGCGAAATTGAACGCCCTGAGCGGCGCGCTCGTTGACAAAACACTGGTCCCGTTGAACGCTAGATACAGATCGAAGAGTTTGTCCAGTGATAAGTTGAACCAAACTAATGCAGATCGTGCCGCGATATTGGAGGATGTGGAGGCGCACTACGTGACGGAGAGGTCCGAAACTCCCGGGTGTTTGGTCAGAAACAAAATCATGAATCAGGGAGCACAGACAATAAATGGGTGAGTTCTATTACACTCGTTTCTTTTTAACCGACTACAGAAACGGGGGAGGTTCTCAATTCGACTGTATTTTGTGTTCGTTGCCTCGGAAATGTCGACTGAGTGAAGCGATTTTGATGATTCTTTTTTTATTTGAAAGCTGGTGATTCCCATGTGATCTCATATAAAATGAATAAAGAGCGAGATATTTGAAGTCGGTTTTGTTAATAAAAAAAAAATGTCTTGTTAAACTTTTGTAAATTGTCATTTATGAAAAAAAAATCGATCTAACGAAAACGTCACTCCGTAATTGCCTATATGTCAAAATTAAAAAAGTTTTATCGGTCTTTTAAAAGAATATGAAAGAAATTATAATTAAGTTTATAAAAAATTTAAACTGAATAATATTTCTTTTTTTTATTATATTTTGTATTAATTTTTCTATTTGAAAGTTTCGTAATGAGCCGTCGTATCAATACAATGCAACATACACATTTTGGTGATCTACTAAAAAAAAAATTAAACAAATATACTCTCATGTTTGTTGAGCGACAACGATCGTGAATAATGTATGTAAACATTTAGGTAATCTTTATAAATAGATAAATTTTCTTATCACACATGCTTCTTAAAATTATCAAAAATTGTTAGAAAACTGTTATAACCCACATTTTCGTGGCAGATTAATCTGTTACCTATGTTACCTATATTTTGAGTTAAAACTTAAAACTAAAAGCTCTATTTAAGAAATATTGTTTATTCGAATCCCAAAATTAACAACTAATTGTATACACATAATTTGTTGCATACGATGCACGATTTTATTAGCCAGTTTTATTAAATGACAGATAATAATTATTTTGGTGAAACTGGGAACTTGTTTTTTGTGTTCTCATAAATTCCAACGTTTCAGAGTAAAACTGACCATTGGAGGGATTTTCTCAGCTGTATAATTTCTTTTCGCGGTTAATTTATTTTCTTACTAAAAAGCAGCATAAATTATTCTTTAAACAACAGCTATCTCCCATAAAAAATTCCGTTTAAATCGATCCAGTTGTTTTCGATATTTCAACAACCAAGAAAAGCATGATATGCTTTTATTAATTGTTGCATTTGAATTGCATTAATTATTATTATGAAATGAAAACGAGATCCCATCAGCAGCATTATTCGTTTAATTTTTAAATAGACATGACATTTGGACGGTGCGGCAATCAGCCGTTTAGCTTAGTGGTTAAAGCGTCACCGCGAATGCCGAAGACGTAAGTTCGATTCCCACAGCGGCGACAATCTTTTCGTACTTTTTCTACATATTTTAATGACATTCAACTTATTTTTATTTGATTTCCGATCGTTGTTTTTAAAAATACGACTATTCGTTCCGACATTATAAGGATCTAGCGTAAAATAAATTCAACAAAATTAAGTTTACAAAATAACATTTCAACTGTATGTGCCAGCCATATTTGTCATTACAATCTATGAGTGCAGTAGGTCATACTTGTTGTCCGTTTGCCGTTGGATTTCCACCTCTATTCCAATGTCACAAAAATCTTATGTGAGTACATTGAATAATAGGTTGTGTCCACGCTGCATGTTATCTTGGCATGGGTTAATGGACCTCAATTGGAATAATCCTTAGGTGGTAGCTATTGTGATGTTAAATAATGAAATTGAAGTAATTACTGTTGCAGACAGTAATTTAACCACTCAGGCGTCATTGAATTTTGTGTTGATTATTTGCTAAAATTTAAATTGAATAAAACGGCCAAGTGCGAGCCGGACTCGCGCACGGAGAATTCCGCACCATTATCTCTTCATCTTTAAAAACGGCAAAAATGTGATGTCTGTTGTATGGGAGCCCCACTTAAATTTTTTTTATTCTGTTTTTTAGTATCTTATCCTTTTAACGAGCAATATATATATAATCGGAATCTCGGAAACGGCTCCAGCGATTTTCATGAAATTTTGTATGTGCGTAGATTCGGGGGCGAAAAATCGATCTAGCTAGGTTTCATTTTTAGAAAATGCCCTTTTATACCTGTTTTCAGGGAATGAAAAATATAATTCGAATATGAAGGTAAATTTCGCCGCAAGAGAAAATGTCATAATAGCTCGGTCGGTAATCGGGCGGCTCCAAAACAGGCGGCCGTGGTTCGCGTCACGATCATTTACACATTTATTTTTTTACTTTTTTTTCGATTCCAGATCATTGCTTTCTTTATTTTTAATTTTTTGTCGATTTTTTTATTTTGTTATTTCTTTCCCTTTTTTTAAGTTCTTTCTTTTGTGAAAAACATCAGTTCTTATTTTCTTATTATTACGTCGGTAAGATCGAAAAATATTATGCATATTTCATTACTCAGTAATTTGTATCTAAATGTAATTTCCAAAATACACGAATTACCAAAAAAAAAACAAACCGAGCAAAGCTCGGTCCTCCGGGTACTTAGTTGTTATAGCGGCAACGTAAATACATCAACTGTGAAAATTTCATCTATGTAACTACTACAGTTCATGATATACAGCCTGGTGACAGACGGACAGACAGACAGCGAAGTCTTAGTAATAGGGTCACGTTTTACCCTTTGTGTATGGAACCGTAAAAAAGGAAGTGTCGTAACATAAATTATGACACCAATCTCAGAAACTAAGAACCAGTTTTTGAAGTTATACTTCTATTGGTGGTTTTGGAAAAAGTTGGGAGAGTAAGATTTTTACGATGGGCGCGCAACTCGACAAAAAGCGAAATGATGATAAATGCAAAGCGACCTTCACGGTGTTACCATGGAAACCAATAACAACCTTTTGACATTATCTATAATTCCGAGTTATTTAATTAAACCGTTATCAATTGCATTTAATATCATTTATGTCTTTTAAACACAGGGCAAAAAATTTTTAGGTAAAGGCTAAAGAAGTATAAATTCCTACGAGCGTACGTTAAGTATATGCATACCTACTTTTTTTTAATCATTCATAAATCATGTAAGAGCCTTGATAGCTCAGTGTCCGGGCGCTCGCTTTCAATTCGTTAGTTCAAATCCTTTTGCCAGCACTAATAGTTTGCCATCTTGGTGTAAAAGTGACAGCTTAGTGTCCGGGTAAGAGCCCGATTGAGCAGGCCTTAAAACATTTCACAGGTATGTAGCGGGGATCGAACCCACACCCTCTGGCAAACAGGCGGGTTCAATGCCCACAACGCCAATCGGGTCTTCATAAAAGAGCCCAGTCTACACCGGCTACGGGGATCCGTTTACCGCTCAAATGTTTATACGCGACGACTAATGAGCAAATTGTTCCATTGACACATCCATCGACCGAACGCGTGTTAAAGCAAACTGCTTTATCTGCACGCATATGTGATGTGACACGTTAAATATAATAACAATAACGTCTGTCGTCTCGAAGGGTAGTCAGATTACAGGCTTCCGCTCTCCGCGACCCCAACACGCCTCACTCGTCTCATCCACGTTCGTATATTTCTTAAGGCCGGATTTTTTTAATGTGAAATGTTGTTAAGCGAAAAGGCGGTTCACCTAATCTTAACTACCGCTGCCCATGGACATCTAACCCCGAGAGCTTGCAGCTTGCGTTGACAACCTTTTTGAAAAATGGGCCCCGGCTACCTCACTCACCAGACGAAACGCGAAAGTATTCCGCTTCTGTGGCACACCACAGTTATTCTATATTTTATCTACAGATAGATTCGGTCACTAGCGAAAGGTATTTTTTTTTATCGAAACTGGCCAGCGCTTGAATGCTATCCCTGGTAGGTAGACCATGGTAAGCGGCGATGCAGTCGTCGATGGTAAACGCGCTAGCTCAGTAAAAACCTATTCACTTGCCTTGAAGACGCCTACGTTGACATTAGCTCCATTATACTTGCGTTAAAATTCTATCTACAGTAACCAAATCTACCTGTAGATTACTGATCCCAGCCGTTAATCTTACGTACCTTGTGCTTTTGTTTCCACTCCATAGCAATCAAGATATCGCCAATCTGACTTATCGTATCGCTATTAACTGTAACTAATTAAGTTTGTTTCATTATATTTTCAACAGACAATAAAGCAGAAGGTTTTCAATCCGTTTGGGGTTGTTACCTCGGTACTTCGTAATGTGTGGCCCTTTTTTAAAAACTGTTTTGACATTTCAATCCGTCGTCAACAAAATATTTTGTTTTTTTTTTTTTATTTTTATTTTCTATAACAACTGTGTTTTATATTTTGCTGTAATAAAAATATTTTTCATTTTTTTTTTTCATTTTCATTGAGTTCTTTTTTTAATGTGAGTAAATGGCAAACGGCGGTGGTTCACCTGACACCATGTAGGTAGATGTGAGATGACAATTTGTAAACAGATCCTAATTAAAAAAAAATGTGTGCGTGTACTAGCGTACACTCGTAAGAAGTGAAACTTTTTTATGACGTTATTTTTCAAAAAATAATTTACTATATGCAACTTTACAGAAATTGGTTAAATAAAGTTAAATTAGATAAAGTTTCATAAAAGGCTTTTATTATTTATCATAGACATAAATACAAATTCTACAATTATTTCATTTTAGCTTTGTATAATATTTAGTTTCTTATTTGTAATACATAGGTGGCGTTAGTAATAAATTAAAACACACTATGGTTTGACCGTTGTAATTAGTATGAGGGTCCGCAAAAATTGAATTGTTGATTAAAAAACTTGCAACGTGAACCTTGTTTATTTCAATGAACCTCACGGACCCAAAATACAACCGCTTTGAATTTGTACATGGTCCTTCGTTGCCGAATAGTCAGCCAGTGAGTAGAAGGCAGACATTCGACTCGCGCGCGAGTGTTGTGAGTGAAGTTTTTTTGGAAAAACCGAACTTGCGGACGTTGGATCGACGTCGCAACCGCAAGTTCCAGGAGCCGATCGAGGTTTCGAAGAGCATCATCGGTCAGCTTCAGATTGTGTCTTCGGTGGATGGCGCAGTCAGGTCACGGTGGGCGGAGCCTGCCTTTGGAGAAGAGGAAGTCTCTACT